TTTAGACACATTTATTGATTAATTTAGTTGTAAGTTTTAAACTCTATCTACTAATCGTTAGTTAATTAGTGATCATCGTTTAGTGTTATGAATTTTTTTTGAAGTCGATTTAGGTTTAATAAAACAATAATTAATTGAATTCTGATTGATATGATCTGATAATGTCTTTGGTCAACCATCTTACTTATGAAGTAATTTATTATTTTTAAAAAAAATGTTCATGTTTGATTTTTAGTATTCAGTTTTACCTTTTCAAAAGATCTAACTAAAGTCTATAGATATGTTATAAAATCTTTCCTCATAAGTAATACTTAAGGATCATATATGTCATCTAATTAAATATTCTTCTAAGTTCATCTACAATTGTGAGTTTTGATAGAATTCTGGTTTTCTATAACAATTTGAGTGTATGAATGGATTCATGTAGTAGTGTTAGGTATGATTTTGGCCAACGTTATATCTATAATCATGGAGTTGTTAAAGATTTATGTAATGATCTACATTTCAAAATGAAATATTATTGGCATAATGCAAACAAATACTCCTAACATTTGACACTATATGCATTTTTGCCCCTATTGTTTTTTTGGGAGCATTTGTCCCCACAATGTTTAATTATGATTCAGAAGTCCCCTCGTTGGATGGATACCGTCAGTCAACTGACGGTCAACGAATCCATCTGACTAAGTATTCACAGGTGGACAACGATGATGACGTGGCATTTCCACATCACTAATATATACTGACATGGAATTGACACGTCATGTAACACACATCTCCCGTATACATTTCCGTACACGAGACACATATGTCACATCACTTTTAAAATATTTCCTCAATTGAAAACCCATTAAATTTTGTTTCCAAATTTCTTAAAACATAACTTTGTTTTATATACCACAAAATATTAACTAGAATCTGTTACAACGTTCTAATTAAGTACAATTCATAGCATTTTTCATACTTTAATTACATGTCAACTAAGTTTTTCAAAATAAACCGGATTGTCCTATTATTACTGATAAATCAACCTTAATTAATGATAGCTTCTCCTACTACTGCACTCCTTACTCGTCTATTCTCTGTCTTCACCTACGCGTGAAATCAACACATGTTAAATATTTACTCTGTGAGACATAATATTGTAAAGAAAAATTAATGTAAACATAAGTATATCACGATTCTTTGTTTACAGAACAATTCGTATCATCCATAAAGATTAGATAAGTCCATATTATCTAAACCTTGTTTCTTTCATACTATCATCATCAATATTCTGGGTATGTTCAGCAAACCTTTCTTTATGTACATTTTCCCATTATTCTTTAGTAATTGTTCATTATTTTCATTTATGGCATCCTTTCATGTCTATAATGCACCGTTATACATTTTATTTATGGTATCCTTTCATACTTGTAATACAACGTTATGCATTTCATTTATGACATCCTTTCATGCCTTTAATGCACCGTTATGCATTTTATTTATGGCATCATTTCATGCCTTTAATGCACCGTTATGCATTTCATTTATGACATCTTTTCATGCCTTTAATGCACTGTTATGCATTTTATTTATGGCATTCTTTCATGCCTTTAATGTACCGTTATGCATTTCATTTATGACATCCTTTCATGCCTTTAATGCACCTTTATGCATTTCCTTTATGGCATCCTTTCATGCCTTTAATGCACAGTTATGCATTTTATTTAGGTGCATCGAAAATATATTAAATACCATTAACATATATTAAATTGAAACCTTATAATTGAACTCATTTCAAAACTTATTTCTCTCAAATAAACATAATAAATGTACTCACCTGATAATCCTCGCTAAAATGTAATGATGTATGACTACTCAGTAACTTTATCTTTGCCCTTGATCTTGCTAGATTCAGGAGCTTGGTTATGATCTACAAAAGCATCTATTAAAGGCACATACCATACCAAATGTTAGTATATTCCTTAACATTTATACTTTAATAATAATCACAAGTACTATTATTTAGATTTCTATAACAATCTTTAAATTATAGGCTCAATAGTATCGGTACCCATACCATAGTATCGATACTTCTATACTATGGTACCGATACACCCTTTCAGTATCGATACCATTTCGGCATTCTGTAAATTAATGGTATCGATACCTTCCTCTCAGTAACGATACTTCTGTATTATAGTACCGATACTCTATTACGGTATCGATACCATTTATGCATTTTGTAAATCAATGGTATCGATACCTTCCTCATGGTATCCATACCCATATAAGTATAGATACTCATTGCATCAGTATCGATACTGTTCAACTGATTTCTTCCAATTTAAGACTATAATATCGATATTTTTTTTCCAGTACCGATACCCCTACCCAAATTTACCATTTTTAGCCCTATTTTTACTAATTTTCCTTTAAATCTCTTACTTTTTCCTCTAACAGTACTATCAAACTCTTTTTTACTTAACCAAACTAACTTTCCTTCATATAACCTCTTATAACTCCTAAAATTTCCAAAGAACATCTCAACTCAAGAATCTTACTACTTTTTCTAACATGTTTTTAATCATATCCAATGCTTCTAATATCTTATTCACGCCTTTGACAAGTAAAATATACTAATAAACCTTAATAAAAACTAATATATCAACATATCATTCAAAAACCCATATCCCTAAATCTCAAATAAAACCTTCACCTCTTAGTTTTAATCTTCTTTAACTCTTCCTTAGGCTTACTTATCACTTAAGGTTACCAAAGCCAACCAAAATCAAAAGGAAGAACTAGCTGAATGAAGTTTACCTTGTTTCTATGGAGAAGAGGACAACCAATGGGAGGATGAAGAAGAGGAATAAGTTACTTAGCAAAATTTTAACTTTCCCCTTTTTCTTAAATCCCTAACCATTAAAAATAATATTTAATTTCATATCATTCCAAAAGACCAAAATACCCTTTTAATTATCCTTTTCTACTCAAATCATTCCATATACTTTAAAATTTATTAAATTAAACCTTCAAATTTTTAAATTATTTCAAAATAGCCACTGACTTACCATTTGGGGTATTACAATTTTCCCCTTTAAGAAAATTCATCCTTGAATTTTAAAGAAGTACATAAAACAAAGAGATGTGGAAATTGCTTCCTCATGTCCTCCTCTCTTTCCCAAATAGCTTCCTCTGCCTTATGATTTTTCCAGAGCACTTTAACTAACGAAATATTTTTATTGCACAATTCCTTGTTTTCCTTTTCCAAGATCCATACTGGTTCATCCTCATAAGTTAAATATAGTCAGATTTCTATCTCTTTAGGCGTGAGGATATGGGATGGATCTGATCTATACCTTCTAGGCATCGATACGTGGAAAACATTGTGGATCTTGTCCATATCTGGAGGTAACGCTAATTGATAAGCTACGTGTCTAACCCTTTTCAAGATGTCATAAGGTTTAATGAATCTTAGACTCAGTTTTCCTTTTCGCCCAAATCGTAATACCATCTTTCAAGGTGACACTTTTAGAAACACCTTATCTCCTACTTGAAATTTAATTTCTTTTCTTTTCAGATCAGCATAAGACTTTTGTTGATCGGAGGCTATCTTTAGATTGCCCTGTATAATTTTCACTTTCTCCTCCATTTCTTTAATCAACTCTGGTCCAATTAGATTTCGTCTTTTAGTTCAAACTAATTTAATGGAGTTTAGCACTTCCTCCCATACAAAGCTTTATAAGGGGCCATCGTAATACTCGATTGGTAACTGTTATTATACGCAATCATACATGCCCTTAGCATATCCTCTAGTATCTGGACAACTCATTTTGACTGCTCATCTGTATGCGGATGAAAACCAGTGTTGAAGTTCAATCGAGTCCCTAATGCCTCATGTAATGACTTCAAGAATCTTGAAGTAAACCTTGGGTCTCGATCGGGCACTATTGATATAGGTACTCCATGCAGTTTGACTATCTCTTTTTATATAAATCTCTGCATACTTATCAATCGAGTAATCTACTCGAACTGGAATAAAATGAGCTGCCTTGGTCAATCGATCTACAATTACCCATATGGAGTCCTTTTTACCTGATGGCAAAGGTAGCCCCAAAACAAAATCCATTGTAACTCGTTCCCATTTCATTCAGGAATGGATATCAGTTGTAGTAATCCAGATGACACTTGATGTTCAACTTTTACTTGCTGATATGTCAAACATTTTGACACAAACTCCGATATAGCTCTTTTCATACCAGGCCACCAACAATGACTTTTTAAATCCTGATACATCTTATTCCCACCTGGGTGCATCGTTAAAGGACTATAATATTCCTCGATCATAATATCTTTCTTACATTCCTCATTATCAGGAATATAAAGTCGTCTTCGATAATATAAACATCTATCAGTTCTCATTTCGAAGTCTGTGGTTTCTTCTTTTTCTATTTGCGCCATCCTTGCCAAACAATTCTCATCTTCACCTTGCCACTCTTTTACCCGTTCTAAAAGCATCAGCTTTAACTTAAGTTCAGCAAACAAGGAATCATCTTCCTTTAAAAACATATGCACATTCAAAGCCCGTAGGGTGGAAAAAGTCTTTCGGCTAAGTGCATCCGCTACCATATTCACTTTTTCGGGATGATAATCAATAATTAAATCATAATCCTTTAAAATCTCGATTCACCTTCTTTGCCTCAAGTTCAGTTCTTTCTAAGTCAACAGATACTTTAGATTCTTATGTTCTGCATAAATATGGCACCGCTCACCATACAGATAATGGCGCCAGATTTTCAAAGCAAACATAGCTGCTATCGTGTGTCGGGTAATTTTTCTCGTGATTCTTCAACTTTCTTGAGGAATAAGCCATAAATTTTTCCATATTTCATCAACACACACCCCAATCCATTATGGGATGCATTACTAAAAACTAAATAATCTTTACCTGACTCCGGTTGCACAAGTACAGGAGTATGTGTTACTATTCTCTTAAGCCTTTCAAAACTTTCTTGGCATTTCTCTATCCAAACAAAAGGCACATCCTTTCATAACAACATAGTTAACGATAATGCTAACATTGAAAAGTTCTTCACAAACCTTCTATAATAACCAGCAAGCCCTAAGAAACATAAAACTTAGAAATATTCTTTAGGGTTTGCCAATCCACTATATATTGGATCTTCTTAGGATATACTCTTATGCCTTCTGTGGATACTATATGACCAAGGAAAGAAATTTTGGCTAACCAAAATTCGCACTTGGACAATTTGGCATACAACTTCTTTTCGTGAAGTGTCTGCAGAACCACTCGAAGATGAACATTCTGTTCTTCTCATGACTTGGAATACACCAAAATATCATCTATAAATACCACCACAAATATATCCAAGTAAGGTTGGAATACTCGGTTCATCAAGTCCATAAATGTTGCAGGAGCATTAGTAAATCCAAATGGCATCACTATAAATTCATAGTGCCCATACCGAGTCCGAAAAGCTTTCTTTGAAATATCATATTCTTTGATCTTTAATTGATTGTACCCTAACCTTAAATCTATCTTAGTAAACATTGCTTCTTCTTTCAGCTGATCGAACAAATCATCAATCCTCAGAAGAGGATATTTGTTCTTTATTGTTACTTTATTTAACTGGCGGTAATCGATGCATAATCACATAGACCCCATAATTTTTTTTCACAAACAACACATGTGATCCCCAAGGATAAACACTTGTCTTACAAATCCCTTATCAAGTAGATCTTGCAGTTGGGATTTTAATTCTCTCAATTTAGTCGAAGCCATCTGATATGGAGCCATAGAAACAGGTTCGGTGCCCGGGTAAACCTCAATCCTAAATTATACTTCACGATCTGGAGGTAATCCCGATAACTCTTCGGGAAAAATGTCAGAAAATTCCCTCACTGTGGGGATATCATTTACTCTAACCTCCGATATTCGAGTATCTATCATATTGGCTAGAAAAGGTATACATCCTATTGACATCATTTTCCTTGCAGTCATGGTTGATATCACTTTTGTTAGCGATTTCTCTTTTTCGCCAATTACTATAATTTCTGAACCTTCTGCATATTTTAGAAACAATCGTTTCTTGCGAAAATTGACCCATCCATAATGTGAAGACAACCAATCCATCCCCAAAATAATTTCAAATTCATTGAAGGGTAACTCTATCAAATTTTCCAGGAACACAATTCCTTGGATCTTGATAAGGCAATTTCTACATACCCAAGTTACTCTCGCACTGTGACATATAGGGTTTACCGCTATATCTCACTAACAATTGGTTCTAAAGGAATCCTTTATCGCTAACCAACTTTGTACTAATGTATGAGTGTGTAGAACACGGTTCAACTAAAATAATTACAAGCTCATCAAAAAGATGGAAAATACCTGTTCTGATTTCGGGGTCATTTCGATCCTCATTAGTCTTAATGTTGTAAATTGTAGCGACTCCCTGAGTCTCTTATCTATGCATTGAATCAGATTGTCCCCTGGATCTACCCCTTCCTCTGCTTCTATTAGAGGCTGCCATCGATCTTTTTGATTACGCCGAAGTTCCCCCAAATTTCTTAGGACAGTTTCAAGCAAAGTGACCCGTCTTGCCACATTGGAAACAAGCTCCACTGAGAAGTCTGCATACTCCATGGTGCAGTTTACCACATGTTTTCCATAGAGTCCTTTCCCCCGATGATCTACCCGAGCTAACAACAAAAGACTATGATTGTTTATTTTTCTATGAAGCTACCGTAAAACAATCTCTATCAATATATCTGGAACTCGAGCCCTTGCCTCTTTTCACATAATGGGGATTTGAAGGTATTCCCACTCCTTTTCCTATCTAAAAACTCTGTTTCGTAGCTAAAGTCTCTTCTTGAGCTCTTTCAATATCATTGGCTCAGTTTCTGACCTCTTGAAAACTTGGAAAGTTCAAAGCCAACATCATCTCTTTTAACTTTAGCCTCAAACCCTCTATAAACCAATCACACTGTGCTTTATCATTTGGAAACATTTCAATAGAAAAATGACTCAATTTGTTATACTCAGCCTCAAACTCATGTACGGCTCGGTCACTTTGTTTCAAGTTAAGAAATTTTAATGGCATTGCTCGTCTGAACTGCTCACCCATATATTTGTTCTTGAATTATTACAGGAAGAATTGACAGGTCACTTGCTCCAGTGTTGCATACATCATAGTATTTGACCACCATACTCGAGTTGATCCTCATAGTAAATATACAACTCCTCCCAACCTTTCTGTATTTGAGCATTGAAGACTTTCAAGCATTATTATAACATAATTTAACCATAAGTCAGCCTCCATATGACCCTCACCCTCTTCTCCTCGAAACTCTGGAGCTCCTATACTCTTCAGCTCTTTTGGAATCAACATCCTCAGTGTTGGAGAAGCAGGGGAGGTTGAAATTGAGTCAGTATGGCCTCCAAAGCTTGCATAAAAGTTCTAAACTCAGGCACCAAAACACCTTGATGTGCAGGCGCACTAGCATTTTCAGATGGAATCGGCTGTTCACTATTAGCCTTGTAACTTTCGTAATCAGTTTCTTCTCTCATATCTTTTCCCTCGCTCTTCGAGAGTTTGAAGATTCTGACATCTATTAAAATTTACATAATAATAACACTACAATTAGTAAGGAGTGTCATCAATCATACTCTAGTAACACCATATCAGTACCATTTAACAATCTTAATGGCATGTAATCCTTTTTCTATTTTCAAGTAAAATCGGTTTCTGTAGAGAATCGGTTAAACCTGTAGCTCCGATACCAATAAATGTAACACCTATCTCACGTATATCTTTCCGTACATGAGACACAAATGTCACATTACTTTTAAAATATTTCCTCAATTGAAAACCCATAAATTTTATTTCCAAATTTCTTAAAACATAACATTTTTTTATATCCCACAAAACATTAATTAGAATATATTACAATGATCTAATTAAGTACAATTCAGAGCATTTTTCATACTTTAATTACATGCCAACTAAGTTTTTCAAAATAAACTGGATTGTCCTATTGTTATTGACGAGTCAACCTTAATTGATGATAGCTGCTGCTACTGCTGCACTCCTTACTCGTCTATTGTCTGCCTTCACCTACACGTGAAATCAACACACGTTAAATATTTACTTAGTGAGACATAATATTGTAAAGAAAAATTAATGTAAACATAAGTATATCATGATTCTTTGGTTACAAAACAATTCGTATCATCCATAAAGATTAGATAAGTCCCTATTATCTAAACCATATTTCTTTCATACTATCATCATCAACATTCCGAGTATGTTCAACATACCTTTTTTTACGTACATTTTCCCATTATTCTTTAGTAATTATTCATTATTTTCATTTATGGCATCCTTTCATGCCTGTAATGCACCATTATACAATTCATTTATGGGAATCCTTTAATGCTTGTAATGCACCGTTCTACATTTCATTTAAGGCATCCTTTCATATCTTTAATGTACCATTATGCATTTTATTTATGGCATCATTTCATACCTTTAATGCACCGTTATGCATTTCATTTATGGCATCCTTTCATGCCTTTAATGCACCATTATGCATTTCCTTTATGTCATCCTTCCATGCCTTTAATGCACCGTTATGTATTTTATTTAGGTGCATCGAAAATATATTAAATATCATTAACATATATTAAATTGAAACCTTATAATTGAACTAATTTCAAAACTTATTTCTCTCAAATAAACACAATAAATGTACTTACCTGATAATCCTTGCTAAAATGTAATCAAGTCTGGCTACTCATCAACTTTATCTTTCCCCTTGATCTTGCTAGATTAAGGAGCTTGGTTATGATCTACACAATCATCTATTAAAGGCACATACCATACCAAATGTTAGTGTATCCCCTTACATTTATACTTTAATAATAATCACAAGTAATATTATTTAGATTTCTATAACAAATTTCATCATATCTTTAAATTATAGGCTCAATAATATCGGTACCCATACCATGGTATCGATACTTCTATACTATGGTACCGATATATCCTTTCAGTATCGATACCATTTCGACATTCTATAAATTAATGGTATCGATACATTCCTCTCAGTACCTATACTTCTGTATTATGGTACCGAACTCTATTACGATATCGATACCATTTGTGTATTTTGTAAATCAATGGTATCGATACCTTCCTCATGGTATAGATACACACCTAAGTATCGATACCCACCTAAGTATCGATACTAATTGCATCAATATCGATAATGTTCAACTGATTTCTTCTAATTTAAACCTATATTATCGGTATTGTTCTTCCAATACTGATACCCCTACCCAGATTTACCATTTTTCAGCCCGATTTTTACTAATTTTTACCTTTAAATCTCTTGCTTTTTTCCTCTAACAGTATTATCAAACTCACCGAACTAACTTTCCTTCATTTAACCTATTATAACTCCTAAACTTTCCAAAGAACATCTCAACTCAAGAATCTTAGTACTTTTTCAAACATGGTTTTAATCATATTCAATGCTTCTAATCTCTTATTCACTCATTTGACAAGTAAAATATACTAATAAACTTCAATAAAAACTAATATATCAACATATCATTCAAAAACCCATATCCCTAAATCTCAAATAAAACTTCCACCTCTTAGTTTTAATGTTCTTTAACCCTTCCTTAGGTTTACTTATCACTTATGGTTACAAAAGCCAACCAAAATCGGAAGGAAGAACTAGCTGAATTAAGTTTACCTTGTTTTTATGAAGGAGAGCACAACCCACGGGAGGAAGAAGAAGAGGAATAAGTCACTTAACAAAATTTTAACTTTCCCCTTTTTCTTAAATCCCTAATCATTAAAAATAATTTTTTATTTCATTTCATTCTAAAGGACCAAAATACCCTTTCAATTATCCTTTTCTTACTAATTGGCCCTACTCAAATCATTCCTTATACTTTAACATTTATTAAATTAAGCCTTCAAAATTTTAAATTATTTCAAAATAGCCACTGACATACTATTTAG